TTTTTCTATAAAATTCGCGAAGAGCGAACTTACCTAAAGAAAAAACGAAAAAAAGAAAAAGGCTTAACTCCTACGGAAATGCAGCGAAGCCACCGGTCTTCAAACCATAGGGCGCCCTATGGTTTGAAGACCGGTGGCTTCGCTGAGTCTCCATATGAGCTAAGATTTTTTTCTTTTTTTACTTTTTCCTCAGGTAAGCTCGCTCTTTGCGAATTTTATAGAAAAAAATGCACCACCTGTGGCCAACGCTGTACGAAATCGGAACGCGATAGGTTAAGAAACCGAATTTAGCGGTCGATTTAAAGAGCCTGACCGCTCCTTGATACACCCAGTATATAGACGGTAGTTCCAAAGAAGGTAGCAGCCTCACGGAAAGTTCAGGTGGAGCTGATCGTTCTAGGTCCGCACAAAGTAAAAATGTGTAGATAAGAGTTTTCCTCCCGTGAAACATGGGCATTTCTTATCAAGGACAGCTCCTATTCGGGCGTTTCCTGTGTTTTTCGTTTTCTATTTCGATGAAACTGTTTCGGGCGTTAACTTTCGGGGTTTATCGGTATTTACAGAAAATACGGAAGCCTAGATATCGTAATTGACGTATAAATATTCGCGACTACGGCCTTTCTATCCAGGAGGTAATACACCAATACTAGAGTGCCTGGAACGCGTCTCCGACTGGTGTACTTACCGCGTCCGAAAATGTGATCCCTCGATTTGCGCCTTATAACGTCGTAAAAATGTCATCATGTCGCAGGCCACGATCCTCGCGGTGTCGCCGGAGCGCTACACTAGATGCGGGAGACGCCAGTTCTACTGCAGGTCGCTCTCCAGCTCGACAGGTGACGGAAGATTCGGCAGCCAGGAGTCGGACGCCACGACGACAGCGATACTCGCTCTGGCATTTGTCGGAACTTGTACACTCTCGGGAAAAAAAGGGTGTATTTTTACACCCTTTGTCCCATATAATACACCCCAAAACTTCAGTGCGACGTACAGCGCACTGACGTCGATCTGACGGTGCTAACTTTCACGACAGGCTTGATAGCCGTCTGGTACAACTTATTAAAATAGCTAACGCACGTGTTACAAAAAAACAAAAATAAATAATCGGGGTTTTTGTGGCCTTACTGAAAACCTCAGTATTTTCTTTCTGTGGTCTTTGATCCGTATTTTAGCTAGTTAATAAGTTATATCGGACCATTATCAAGCCCCTCGTAAGATTTGGTACCGTCTGTTCGATTATAGTGGGCTATACGCCGAATTTGGGGTGCATTGTATGGGACGAAAGGGTGTAAGGTGATAACCTTTTTTTTTTTAGAGTGTGGAACCAACCCTCGAGATCGTCCGACAGCATGACGTATTTCGTGACGTCATTTGTTGCCTCTTCAGGACCACTTTGGATGCATGGGCTTAATAGGACGCTAAGCACACCAGTGGAATTAAGACGCGTTTTAGGCACCGTGTACCGATGCTAAGTGCAGCATTTCTCTTTGCCACTATATTCACTTTCACCTGCAGAAAAAAGCAAGTTTTGCGCAGTGTTCATGCGCCGCACGAAGTAATTCTTACGAGATTTTGTTGCCGGAGGAAGAAGCGATGCTTTTGGCGTTTGAAACGTGTAATACCCCTGTCAGACGGGCTAGTTTAGTGTCACTACAATCCAGTGCACTTCAACCCGTCGAAACACACTCCAAGTGTGTTGGTGCTACACGGGAAAACTTAGTGTCACTCCAAAGTGATGGCAATAACGATGGGTAAGTAATGGGCACGCAACATATTACAGTGCATACGCATTTTTTTCATAAATAATTTCGTTGTCTTATTAGAAACACGTTACCACACATTGTTGCGCTAAGTCACGAGTTTTAATCCAAATCTAAATCCAATTTCATCATTACGATCAGCCATTACAAGCCAGTGATACACGTCCGCACGCCGGTACGATACTCTGTTTCACCTTATGATGTACCGCAGAAAAGGTTACAAGCGCGAGCTCCTTGCTCTAGGGCATATCAAGGCGGCACAAGCTCTCGTGCGTTAAGAGTAGCTCCCAACGCTATGAGCTCGCGCATCTAGCCTTGTCTGCGGTACAACATAAGGTGAAACGGAGTACAGATCGAAACGAGCAGAAGTAGGGATTGAACCCAGGATTCCTGGGTTCTGCAGCGCGAGCCTTCGCTCCGCGTGCTCCGATCTGGTGTGCGCGAGCCCACTCGGCCACTCGCCACTCGCCACAATGAAACGTCATGGAGTGTGTGGAGGACGAGCTGGAGGGCAATATCCGCGATGTTGGACAGTGGAAGCGCATGTTTGGGGCACTTTTCTCTGTGAGAGCCCAACGCCTTTCAGATAAGAGGCAGCTGGACCTGGATGCCGACGCACAGGCAAGAATTTCAAGTAACATCGATCAGCAGCTGCAGGCCAATGCCTTCACCATAGCCACTATCATGACCGACAACCTACCCGTGATCAGTCGACAACGGTGGACTTTCCAGAGGAACGAACGGTGGTTCGAAGACACCTTGCCCAATTTGGGCGAGTTCTACTTCAAGCAAGCCTTTCGCGTCTCTCCTGCCACCTTCATATTCCTGGTGGAGTCGTGCAGGTGCCTCCTGGCCTTCGTCGGCCGTCGCGCAGGGGCCAAGGCAGGAAACTAGATTAGCCGCTTGTTTTTCTACAATGCACTACTTTCCTGCCAACAGAAAGCAAGTGCGCATCTAATATTAGTCCTATCAAAATAATACTAATTTTACGGAGCGTTAATTTCTTCTATTATTTTAACTCCTTGAACACTGCTATCGAGATTACACACTTGGTCTACCGGAGCGAGCGTAGTGTGTTCCCCGAACTCACTTCATTGGAAGTGTGTTCTTCGGGCAGTGCTGGGGATTGAGCTCAGGATCACTGGGTTCTCCTTCTCCAGCGCGAGCTTCCTCTCCACGTACTCCGATCAGGTGGGCGCTAACCCACTCGGCTTCGATACCCCTTAATAAAGACACGTTAAAAAAATTGACGTTTACAATTCTCTGAAATGCCGAATTGGAGTGAAGCTCTTGAGGAGGAGGGAGGAAGGGTACGAAGGGGAGGGTATGCCAGCTGCTCCCCCTCCGTACCCTCCCATCCTCCTCTCCTGTTCCCATCCCACTTAGCGTAAAAATTTCCCTAAATTTCCCGCTAAATTTAGTGGGGAAATTTTCGCGCTGAATTGACGTGTGACATCACATGACACGTCATCTGAAATTTTAAGTGTGACGTCATGGGACGTCACACGGGTAAAATGTTTCCTCTAAATTTAGTGGAAAAATTTTCCGCCAAACTTAGCAAAAACTTTTACCGCAAAATTTAACGGGAAAATTTTAGATGTCAGGACATCTGAAATTTTAATTGTGGCGTCACGTGACGTCACACGGGTAAAATTTTCCCTCTAAATTTAGCGGAAAAAATTTCCGCCAAACTTAGCAAAAACTTTTACCGCAAATTTTAGCGGGAAAATTTTAGATGACAGGACGTCTGAAATTTTAATTGTGACGTCACGTGACGTCACACGGGTAAGATTTTCCCTCTAAATTTAGCGGAAAAAATTTCCGCCAAACTTAGCAAAAACTTTTACCGCAAATTTTAGCGGGAAAATTTCAGATGACAGGACATCTGAAATTTTAATCGTGACGTCACGTGACGTCACACGGGTAAAATTTTCCCTCTAAATTTAGCGAAAAAAATTTCCGCCAAACTTAGCAAAAACTTTTACCGCAAATTTTAGCGGGAAAATTTTAGATGACAGGACATCTGAAATTTTAATTGTGACGTCACGTGACGTCACACGGGTAAGATTTTCCCTCTAAATTTAGCGAAAAAAATTTCCGCCAAACTTAGCAAAAACTTTTACCGCAAATTTTAGCGGGAAAATTTTACCCTCGTGACGTGACACGTGACGACACGCGTGACGTCACGTGTGACGTCTTTTTGGGAAACAGCCCTTAATGCAACGCGCGGTTACGCCGACGCCGCTCAACCCAGAAATGGGTGCCTAGGAGCTGTGCTCTAAAACAACATTACATTAATGGACGATTTTTATGCAAATTGGATGATTCTGATCGATCATCGCAAGCCAAGATAAAGAACGAAGCATATCCAACTTTGGCGTTCCGCTTCGTTCCACGGAAGTCTACGAGGAGGCCCTGAAACTGCCTAATCAGGTCATAATTATCGTGTTGTCTCGAATAGTTACATGCTGAAACAAAAGTAGGCTCTATCATTCGCTGCGAACCATGACAGCCATGAATGACTGACTTTGTCGTCGTCTTTTATCAATTCAGCGCTCCGCTATACTTCGTTTCAGCTTCGGTCCAGACGCAGCCAAAGCTACAAGCGCGAGCTCCGGGCTTTCAGCATCCCTGCCAAGCACGCGCGATCGTGCAGTGCAAGCACGGTTCTGGGCCACATGCTCGCGCTTGTAGCATCGGCTGCGTCTGAACCGAAGCTGAAACGAAGTATAATCTTGATTCAGATCAGCCTAAACTCCAAGTCCACCCCACTATTTTGTTTTTGCAATGCCACTCTTTTACATGTCGTCGCTTTCACGAATTTCTTTTTCTTTATAAAATAAAACTTACGCCACGCTTTTGGTTTCTGTGTTGTTATGTTTTACTGTTGAAACACTCCTACTGATTCCACGCGCTCGATCGAGCGAAGTGAGTTCGTCAAACTCACTCGAAGCCAAGTGTGTTCCTCAGGAAGGAGCCGTGTGGCACACTACAGAAATGACACTAAGGGCGAAGTGCACTCGCTTGTAGTGACACTAAACTAGCCCGTCTGACAGGGGTATAAGTCTTGAAACGATAACATATATCTAATCTAAACTGCACCTAGATATAAATTCTCCACATAAGGGAGGAAATTAGTAGCGCGAGGAGCCGAACTGCTTTTTCTACGGTTCTTGGGATGAAAACGAGTCTAGGGTGTCCAAAGAATGGTAGAAGTGATGATCGTCTCTGACTTTCAAGGTCCACAATCCACGTGCCATCGGACGGCAACTGGGGTGGCCGGAGGCCGGACGGGTCCTGGGGTGGCCAGGTGGGCCTCGTAGTTCGAAACGTAAGAACAATTTATTTCCAATTACGACAACATCTTGTTTAAAGTCCGACGCAGCCGATGCTACAAGCGCGAGCATGTGGCCCTGAACAGTGCTTGCACTGCACGAGCGCGCGTGCTTGGCGTGGACATTGAAAGAACGGAGCTCGCGCATGTAGTTATCTGCAGCGTCTGGACTTACGCTGAAACGAAGTAGAGCTGAAATGATTGGTTTCTTCATTTGAGCGTCTATTTCTCCCTCACGTCCAATGATGGCGTAGAGGCCCATCATACCACTTTGGCTGTAAATAAATATGATTTTTTGTAGTCGGAAAAGATGGGAAGCGAGAGAACCAGGTGCCGCTCGAGGCGTACATCTTCGCCTTTCCGTGCAGAGTTTATTCGGGAATGAGCAAATGAGCTCGAACCGTTTGTTGGGAAAGGGCCCATTTTAAGAAACTCGCGCCATGCCTTTCCTCGACTGGCAACGCGTCTGCCCAAGAAGCAGCCAGCCCCTTTGTGTGGCAATGCGCACAAACTTTGGAACTTCGGTTGTTTTGGAACAATACTCCTCGATAGGAATGCCGGGGAACTCTTCACCTGGTGAGCTTGAGCGAAAATATTTAGACTGCGTCCGATGCGGAATGAAGACGATGACTTGATGACTGGTGACTTCTTGTAAGAACGAGCTACAATGGCCCGACTTGAGTTACTGATACGAACTATAACTTCATCAAACTCAGAGAGACGGAATCACATCACCCTTTAACTAACAAACTTCACTGATAAATTAACAGCGACACCGGTGAGTCGGCTGTCTTAGAGTTACATCTAAGGAAGAAGATACTCATCGTGTTTAAAGGAGCTGTGCAACGATATTCAATTGGAGTGTTTTTCTCTCTACACGAGCTTACTGGCACACCTGGGACTCAAGGATACTCACACGCAACGCCATTGGCCAAGAAACTCCTTTGTTGCGGTGTAATTTCAAGGACAAAAGCGATCATTTTCATTCAATCTCTCCTTTGCAAAATTTGATGACGTAACTCGGGGATCGCAGTACACCCAAGTGACGATATTTGAATGCGGTTCATAGATTGGACCCGAGCATAGCATGGGCACTCGACTTGGGCTCGTGATAATTGCTAGCTCGAGAAGCGTTCGGGTAGTGACCCGTGTCCAATCGCTGCAACGACGACAACAGCCGAGCCATAACAATGTCTGGAACTCAGCGCGTGTCCTGCGCTTTGCCAACCACAGCGCGTGGCTATGATCAAGACTGGCGGCATATAATCGGCTCCAGATCACGTGGCCGCTTGTTCTGGCTGCGAGTTGAGGGGGGGAACGCTGCTCGTTGTTCTTTAATTTTTTTCTGGGACTTCTATTGCGTGGGGTGAAAAACTAACGCGTGTTTCATAGGTCATTAACGTTAGGGATCCGTTTTAAGCGGTATTTCTGCAGAGTACAAAAATTGTTGCACAGCTCCTTTAATACTCCTTTCGTGTACGCCAGTGGAACGACTGTTCAGTAGGGTTCACTTTGAGGCGCATGATGCTGTTGCGATGTATAAACAAAAGGATCTGAGTTGTAATAGATATACCGTAAATAAAATGAGCACGAATTACTGTCTCAAGGTATTGAAAAGCAGTATCAAAATAATTTTCTTACTTTTGGAAAGTAATTGTAATGTAATATTTTTTGCTTTAAGTCAACGTGCTGTGTAATGTAACTTAATTACATTTTCGCAGTTTGAAGAAAGTAATTAGCAATGTAATTCAATTGCTTTTGAAAGTAATTTTTCCATCTCTGGTTACATGCTCAGGGTGACCAGTCTATAACGCGCGAAGTGCTGCACTCACTAAGGTGAGTGCAGCACTTCGCGCGTTATAGACTACCTCAACTCGCTAACGTCACGCCACTGGGGTGGCGCTGCTGTCGGTACTGCGCATGCGCACTGCCCACAATCTGGTGTGGGCAAAGCAGGCTTCTTTTGAAACACTCTGTTGGTCTATACACGCGCACCTGGGCGCGAGCCATGGACAGTCGTTACGATTGCAAAAAGTGAGTTTTATTTCTTTTACTGCAATGTGTACTCTTTTTTTGTCGCTCTTCTTGCTTACGCTTAGACGCAATTTTTTTTTTTTTAATATCTGAACCGAGGTGTCACTGGGAGAGAGGACACGTCTGCTTTTTCTCTGTTCTTACGACCGTTGTTCTATACATTACAAGTAGGGCTCAATTAGTAAACACGCAATTTGTTGGAGGCGCATGAGGTAAGCACTGACGTGTCTTCACTCAATACGCAGCCATAGTGGACAGGCAGCGAACTGGGGCAGTGCGGATGGGGAAAGGGACGCCGGCACGGTACGTCTGCACAAAGCCCACTTATAATACATTATTTTCTACAATATGAATCCTTTTTTTTTTCTCGTATTTTCCTCCAGTTTTCTCTTCGCGTTCATTAAGCCGCAGCCACACTTCTTATACTGCACACGAAATAATGTTCACTGTCCACATAAGGCCAGAAACGTTTTCAAAAACGCCTCGAGCGTTTTTTTTTTTTTTTTTTTTTTTTTTACATTTGCATATTTTAGGCATCCCTGCGGACTGTTTTTATATAATCAGTGTGACCGGGCAGGTCGTACAAGGTGGAACTAACGCCTTAGACATCTTCCGCAGACCGTAAGCAGTGGCTTTGTGGACTGGCATGTGGTCCTCAGGACGGAAGCGGACGTTATCCCAGGGGCCCTGGTGACTGTTTCTGCAGGTGTGCAACGTGGCCGCCGGACCTATGGCCATGAACGCGGACCGGGTGGGCGCCATGCAGCCTCTGCCGGCCTTCTACTACGCGGACGGCGTCCACATGGCCGGCAGACGGCAGATGTACAGCACCGACGTCTTCGGCTACATCTACGCCTTCGACGAACAGGTATGCCGTCTCACCCTCGCGGCAACAGGGGGCATTCTGGGCCCGTTTGCTCAAAGCACTAACCGCGGCTAAAGTTAGCCGCAGTACCTAGGAGAGGGATTTTGAAATCACGTGACTGGCTCGGTAAGGATGCGGGGAAACATGGCGGCGCCCCAGCGAGTGAGCGCCGCTCGCTTTGGAAATAATATGTCGTTGTAGCTGCATTATCGAGCGCGTTAGTCAGCAACGAATGGTGTCGGAGGCTTTCGCTTTGCCTTATCTCAATTAAACCGCAAAGCATGGGCAATGACATCGGCGCATTCTTTAGATAGTGTTTCGATTCTGGGCATCCCTAAGCCTAAATGAACGCGATAATTGTCGGCATGGCAACGTCTTTGGAAAGCGGATTGCCTTGACTCAATCGGCCGGGTATTGATAGCACACAAAAGCAGACAGCGTCCCAACAGACTTTCTTCTAAATTATCCAAGCATCGCGAGGAGAACGCTGGAACTGTAATTCTACGGTCGACGCGCGCTGGCCTTCCTCTTATCTCTTTCAGGCACAGAAGTTCGTTTTAGCAAAAAAACGGAACTTTATTGATTAAACAGTGAACTACGGACAAGAAAACTCGTTTTTGGCAAAAAGAAAACATTTAAATCAGTGTAGATAGGAATATATGGGGTGGTCAGTTCAGGTAACCACCATGCTCGAAGGGCATCCAAAATCACTTCCTGTGGAAATCCGAGAAGCAATTTTTTTCTTTCCTAAGGCAGAGTGGGACGCTGCAGGTTTCGCACATCCATGTTGTTCTTGTCGGTTGCGCTTTCGTGCTGCAATTTGCACACCTCCGTGACGTGCATTTCTTTGGCTGGTGCTTGGACTCAGTGACACGGATGATCGGGGCTACGTAGGGCTTTGACTTTTTCAGTTGGACAGTCTGGTTGGTTGATGACTTTCGCTTAGAGCTAGAGCCAACTTGTCCTTCTGCAGTCAATGATGCAATGACACTTCTGCGAAAGTCTTTGAGGGTCGTCTTCTCGGAATCTTCAAGTTCTTTGAAGATTATGAACGCATTCACAACGCAGCAATCGAGAAAATGGAAGAAAATCCTGTGCCACCACTTCCGTGATTTTCTGTCAACCTGGTATTTACCTTTCAGTTGATCAAACTTGTCAACGAAATTCATATTGCGGTTGTAGTCTTGCAAGGCTGCAGGGCAGGATACCTTGCTGACAGTTCCGTCCTTGTTTTTTCTGTCAACTTCGACTTCATCTGCCGGGTCATGGAAGTTCGACAAGAGGTGAACTGTTCTCTTGTCCTTCCACTTGAAGCAGCACAGGCTCTCATCACTCACTGAATAGTCTGTGTCCCCTCTTGTCATTGATTTGTCGGCTTGTAATTTCGGCAAGTGTATGAGGACATACAGTGTCCACTGACACTGTATGTCCTCATATTCTTCCTCTGTAACAGCAAACAATGAGAATGAGCACTTTATTTTTCACATAATTTGGCTACATTTTAGACCTCAGCACACTGGTCACCGGATTTGCAATGAGAAAGCTCAAGTCACTTCAGGCATGGTGGCTACTTCTGATGACCACAACATGCAACACAGAGACGCTAAGCCATAATGAAGTGCCGTAATTATTTTCTTGCAGATTATATATTGTACACTCACATACTTTCTTTTTTGCTGTTATCAGTATTGTAGAGTAAGCACTTACCTTCTGATTTGTAAAATCTTTTGGGATCAAACGGGGGAGGCGCCATAGCAGCCGGAGAGCGTCAACAAAACTTTTTTTCCACGTGGTTGGAGCGCGCAAGGAAGCTAGCGCCATCTGGTGTAAGCAGCGCGAAGCTCGAGAAAGAGAAGCACTGGTGGTTTCTTACCCAAACCACCATGCCACAAGGGGAAAAAATATTGAAATGGTGGTATGAGGTGCTAACCACCGTGCTTGAAAGAGTTATAAAAGATTCGAAGTAAAAAATCATAATAAGGCTTTAACGAACGCGCGTGCAAGGCAAAAGTTGTTTCTTACTTTTTGTTTTAGAACGGTTACTACTACAGACGCCAGCACGTGCGACGCGTGCAACTACAGTCGTAGCATGCACCTCGGTGCTTGCATGATTTAGATAAAAGTTCTGTTGGGACGCTGTCTGCTTTTGTGTGCTATCAACAATCCGCTTTCCAAAGACGTTGCCATGCCGACAATTATCGCGTTCATTTAGGCTTAGGAATGCCCAGAACCGAAACACTATCTAAACAATGCGGCGATGTCATTGCCCATGCTTTGCGGTTTAAGTGAGGTAAAGCAAAGTGAAAGCTTCCTGCACCATTCGTTGCTGACTAACGCGCCCGATATTGCAGCTACAACGACATATTATTTCCAAAGCGAACGGCTCTCACTCGCTGGGGCGCCGCCATGTTTCCCCGCATCCCTACCGAGCCAGTCGCGTGATTTCAAAATCCCTCTCCTAGGTACTGCGGCTAACTTTAGCCGCGGTTAGTGCTTCGAGCAAACGGGCCCTGGTTGCACCTAAAGTCACTGGATCCTGGGAAAGTAGCGCCATTGCCTTCCCTACCTGCTTGCCGGACACAAACGGATACTAACATACAGACGACCCAAATATAGCAAGGTGATTGGCTAATCGGTCTACGTTGCCATGGAAATCGCCATCTTGGTCCATTTAAATCTTCGAAGCTTCCAGAGGGTCGTTCTAAACCAGTTGCGCCAAGATTACAATGGAGCATCATCGCATACTGGAGGCGCTCCTCGCCAATATAAGAGTCTTTGGCAGTGTGTATGCAATCAACTTATTATTCATGCCTATCTTCATGGATCTCTTACAATTGTATTGTTCTTCTTGCGTATTTCAATACAGTAAACTTATTTTTCAGTGACTCCAATCACCGACACAGCATCTGGTGGTGGTACGAAGGTGTACGCCTGTTTCGCCGGTGTGTGGTTAGCAATATCTCAGTATACAAAAAACCACTCCATAAAGCTACCCGTCACCAGCGAATCTAGATCGGCTCACCAAGAACGGAGGGGTCAAGGAAAAATTGCTCATTTCACGGACCAAGATGGCGACCACACGGGGAGCTTGGCGTTACTTTCCCAGGATCCAGTGACTTTAGTTGCACCAAACCCGCTGAGTCCTTTTACGGCACTGTTCCCACCCGCTATGAGAGAAGGAATGTTAAAAATATTTTTAATCGCCCAATAATTCTTTTTTGGGGGGGACGTCGTTATAAAGAAGAATGCCCATTATATTTCGCTGAGCTGGGTTTCAAAATTAAGGCGGAAACTTGTGAAGTACGTGTGTGAATAAGAACACGTAGAAGAACAGACGTGGCCTTTCCTCCTAAACGTCATTACTAGGGGGTCCGCGAAACGCCGCCTATGCAGGCTTAAACGGAGAGAGAGAATAAGATTAGAGAGCGCGAGGACGCCAGCGCCGGCTCGCTAGAGCAGCGTCTCAGCCGAGACTGGGTGAAAGAAAGCAGTGCGAGGGCTGGGGCGCACGAGCGTCTTGAGACGCGGTTTGAGTCCCGCTCGTGCGCTGGCTTGGCCAGTGCTTTCTTCCATCCGGTCTCGGCAGAGACGCTGTTTCTAGCAAGTCGGCCCAGGGCGCCGAACTCCGGTTTAAATGATTAGCTCGAAGACGGAAAGTTATGCGGAGGAGGAGGGGGAGTCTTTATTAGTCTTCCGGGATCAAATACTGGGGGTGATGGAGGCCCAGAGGACCGCCGCGACCGCCAGGGCCCGGGAGGTGGTCAGGACCAGACTTGTACACGTTACTGAAAAATAGTAAGGAATTACATTTACAATTACTCAAGGCTAAATTGTAATTTATTACAATTACAATTACCCTCCCATGAAAGTAACTGACCGTTACCACAAAAAGTAATCCGTTACTTTCGTGGCGTTACTTTTAACATTATTGTCCTCAAGTAAGGAACAAAGGGAAGAGGGCTATTAAAGTTCTTACTGTTGCCACCTGTTCCATTTAATGACGTTGAGTTATTTGTGCACCAGCTGGCTCTCGAAAATCTCGTCAGACATTTCGCGTTATTTCTTACTCAATATGTCGACCGCTACGCTGAACACCATTTGAGCTGAGGCACTGGATGGGAGTGCCTTATTGTTCCTCACGAATGCTTCATGCTCTGCATTGAGCTTTTTAGCGAAGCAAGGGAAGTACTATCTACCTCGAGTGTAGAGCAAAGCTTCGTCGTTGCAGCCGTTGCCTGCTATTCGAGAGATTTAGTAGATCCTTCCGATACCTCCATTACCCGCGATAACGGTACCCCATAACGATATGATACATACGCAAAGACGGCGGCGAAGTATCGGATATCGTTATCGAACCGATCTACTAAAATTTTCTATTGTCTAAATCGCGAAGCTGTGGAAGTCATCAATAGCAAAACATAGTTGTAACAGTAAGGTGATAATTAAATAATAAATAAGGTTTGTCTCGATATTCTTCTTTCTTTGGTTCTGAACAGATCGAGCCTCACTTGAGACGTTGGTGAATAAAAAAAAGTTCCCAGTATATAAATATAAGTAATAACAGAAAAAGAAGGACACTCATAACAATTAATTAGAACGTCGGTTAAAACAACGAAATGTAAACGCACGTTTGCCGTGTGCACCTTGGTGCCGTTCAAAAACGCACGGAGTACGAACTGACTGCAGTTTACTCCGGTGTTCTCCAGATAGACGTCCACTGATGCCACGGGCAGCAAAGGGTAGAGTACTAAGTAAGCCGCGCTATGGCCCCACCCGCGAATTTCACTCTATCCTCAAGCCCAGAATATCTAGGGATGAAGGCACCCTAAGAATATCAAGTCTAGGTCAGCCACCATTATGTTTCATTTGTAAAAAATACCTGTTTGAGATAAGATGCGTCCTGCTGGGGCAAAACAGGAAGAAAAAGGAAGGTTATTATCATTTTCTAAGTGCTCGCAAAAAGCTGACTTACAGAAAGGGTAGGGTACACGGAGCGTTGTCTCGTGTTGTGACATTATGAAAATGGTCGTAGTCACTATAACCGCGAAGGACATTGTTAATTCTTTTCAGTGCACTTAACCCCACGAGCTTCACAAAGAGGCGTACAATCACATGGTGTCCTCCTCTCCCTGTCTTCGATCGCAAAGAAAAAACAAAGTGACTAAAAAAAAAGCGGAAATAGCTTAACCCCCCCCCCCCTTTTTTTTTTTAAGAATTGTTTATTTGGATTTTTTGACATTGATGTTAGGGTCTAAAAAAAAGATAGATTTAGGGGCTTGGTGTTGCAAAAAAAGGCTTTGCGGAACTGAGCAGTGCCAAGCCTATCTTTGCGTTGGTCGATTCGCGTGACAGTGTCACTGCACTCGACTTTACAAAAATGAAAAAAAAAAAAAAAAAAAACTTTATTTAGAATGGGAGGGGGGGGGGGGACTGGAGCTGACAAAAAAAAAGTAACGGATTACAAGGAATCCGTTACGTCAAAAATGTAAGGGAATTACTTTAAAATTACTCTAGAAAATATGTAATTATTCCGTTACTAAATTACTGATAAATGTAAGGGATTACAAGTAATTTCGTTACTTGTAACGGATTACGTACAAGTCTGGTCAGGACTTTGCCTGACTCCTCCGGGTCGCGCAACATCTGCTGCCAGAGGTGAAGGGAGGGAAGAGGGGGGTTTGGATCTGCGGGGCATTCGCAAAGGGAATGGTTGTCAGTGTCGAGTGCCCCGCAGGCAGGACAAGCGGGGGTGGTAAAAAGGTGTGTGTGAGTGCATATTAGTTCTGTTCGGTGAGGGGAAGTCTGTGTTTGCAGGAGGTTCAGCATGTGTGCTGCCTCCTGGGAAAGATGTGGGTGCGGGGTTGGGTATTGGCGGTGGAGGAGGCGGTAGTGCAGGGTAATAATATCCTTGCATTGCAAAAGGGAGGTAGGCTTGCCTGCAGGGGCATCGCGAGTAGGCGTAGTTAAAATGGCGGCTCGGTCGATAAGTTCGCGAGCACGATCGTGCACCATCTCATTAGCGCCTACGCCTGTGTGGGCTGGTGTCCACAGTTGGGTCACGATGTCGGACGGAGGGTTGATGGTGAGACTTTGGAAGGCTATGGGCTATGCTTCTGCGGATGTAAAGGGGAGGCGGGGGCTTCGTCAAGTATCGACATGCTGTTTTTTTCCCTGCCTTCCCCTCTCAGATGGAGAAGAAATAAATTGATTGATTGATTGATTGATTGATATTACCGCGAATAAAGTTGCGGATGGCCTGCTGAGAGTCAGATAGGACGAATTGGGGGGTGGGGCTCTGGGCGAGCGCAAGGGCAATGGCCGCTTCTTCCGCCGTGGTTGAGTTCGTAGTGAGGATGGTGGCCGCCGTGACGTTTGGTGGTGGGTGTTGGCCGAGAACAGTTACACAGTGTGCAGGTTTGTGAGGGTAGGGTGTGGCATCAATATATAGTGTTCATTGTCATGCTGGGTATAGTTTGGCGTGGGTGCTGGCTCGTGCTAGTCGCCGGGCTGCATGGAAATTTGGGTGCATGTGGCGAGGGATTGGGTGGACTCGGATGCGGTTACGTATGTGCGGTGGAATGGGGAGTGTAAGGGGGGGGGGGGGGGGGATGGTGGGGGTGAATATGTTTATAGAGGTAAGAATGTAGTGCCCTTCGGGCGAGAATGCGAGGCGGGTGAGTTGGGACATGTGGTGGGCGTCTAGGTGTTCGCGTATTGTGTTGTGTATGCCGAGGTCGAGCAGGCGGTGCGTTG